ACGGGAAGTGCTCGTGTTTTGAGGCAAACCAAGGACTTGTTTAATGCTTTTGCGCATGAGTGTGTTTAGTTTCGTCTTTTCTACCTTCGTCCAGTTGTGGGCAGAGGCGACGTAATTGATGTGACTCATTAAGAACGCGTGGTATATGCGCAGTAGGTTGGCCTCTCCAAGGCCTCGTCTACGACCCGAGACTCGCTGAATGAGTCGGAGCATGTTCTCGGTTTTAGCTGTGATATGTGTAATTGTTCTTGCATGACAGCCAGTGGCCTCGACGAGGAGGCCGAGAATGCGTATGGAGTCCACGCGGGGTATTCGCTGCCCATCTTTGGCGTGTAGCGCTATGGGTAGATCACCTAAGGGTGTTAAGTTACGAACGCCTTGGCGAGATTGCCGGTACAGTAGCAACTCTGATTTTGTGGGCGACAAACGAAGTCCAGTGTTTTTTAAGTAGGCTTCTGTGGTATCGAGAGCAGTTTGAAGGGCTTGCTCCAACTCCGCCAATGAGCCTCCCGGGCACCAGATGGTGATGTCATCTGCGTATATAGCATGGTTTATGTTTGGGATGTCGCGGAGTTTGTCAGATAGTCCCTTCATTACTATGTTAAAAAGGAGTGGAGAAATGACTGCCCCTTGTGGTGTCCCGTTGGAACCTAATGTGTAAGTATCGGATGTAAGTTGCGATAAATGCAGCTGAGCTGTTCGATTTTGCAGAAAAGAACGAATGTACGCCTGGAATCTTTTACCGAGACCAAGGCTGGCAATGGATTCCAGTATAAAGCGGTGTGAGACGCTGTCGAATGCTTTAGTGAGGTCTAGGGCGAGAATGCCACGAACATCTCTCGTTTTTGAGTCGAAGATCTGTTTCTTTAGTAATAGCATGACGTCTTGTGTTGAAAGGTGCGGACGGAACCCGACCATGTTGAACGGAAAGAGTTCGTGATCCTCTATGTAGCGCGATACACGATTTAGGATGACATGTTCAGCTGCTTTTCCTATGCATGAGGTTAGGGAAATCGGGCGTAGGTTGTCGAAGTTGAGTGGTTTACCTGGCTTTGAGAGAAGGATTACCGTGGCCGTGCGCCATTGTTCAGGTACCTGGCCAGTTTCCCACATGTAATTAATGTCTTTTGTGAGTAGTGTGATGGCTTGGTCGTCTAAATTTCGCAACAGGCGGTTGGTTACCTTGTCAGGACCGGGGGCTGATCTGCTGTTGAGGTTGTGTAATGCCTCCCGAATTTCTGACTCCGTGAAGGGTTCGTCGAGTTCGGGTATCGTTTCGCATTCTATTTCTGGGTAGTCGGTGGGTTGTGCTGTGTTTAAGGGGAGGTGACGTTTGGAGATTTCTTCAAGAAAGGATGAGTTTGTTCCTCCCATCTTTTTGTGCGAGTGTAGGAGCCGGTCTATGGCATGACTCTGGTTGTTTTTTGTTTCGCAGTCGTCCAGCATGTATTTTAGGAGGTTCCATTTACCCCCAGTTCGCATGCGGCCGTCGACCGCCGAGCAGAGTTCATGCCATTGGAGTCGTGTGAGCTCCGTGCAATATTTGGCAATGTCTTGGTTCAGTATTGATAGACGTTTTCTTAAGCGTCTGTTTAGTCGTTGTGTTTTCCAGCGCGCGAGTATTGACGCTTTTGCCTCGAGCAAATGTGCGAGGTGTGGGTCCATTCTCGGGACCTCGAGTTCTGTTTGTATTGTTTTCGTTGTTTTGGCTATGTCTTCCTGAAGTGAGGTGAGTAGTTCGATGAATGTGTTGTATTCCTTTGTGTTGTTTTTGCGGAGGGTGCGGAAGGCATCCCAGTCCGTTAGCGTGAATGTACGGGGTGGGGCTGATGCATTGGGTAGTTCGGTTCGTATGATGAAGTGATCACTGCCCAGGTTTTCCTGCGTATTGGTCCAGGTGTGGCCTGTGACGTTACGGGTAAATACCAAGTCCGGCGTAGTGTCGCGTTGTACCGATGTTCCAAGTCTCGTAGGGAATCGGTGATCTGTGATGAGTGTGAGGGACAAGTCGTCAATTGCTCGCGTGAGGTTAGTGCCTTTAGCCGTTGCCTGGGGGTAACCCCATGACGGGTGGGGGGCATTGAAGTCGCCTGCTATAACAAGCGGAGAGTTTCGCGCGAGCGTTGTGGCTTTAGTTAAGAGCGCGTGGAAGGACTGTCTGTAGTCTGACGGGGAGCTGTAAACGTTAAGGATAAAAACGCTTTGTTTTAAAAAACGGTTTGGTACGAGTTCGACGAGTATCGCTTCCAGGCGGCTGCGGGTGGGTAATACCTCATGTACTATGTGAGCAAATTTCTTGCTAATCAGCGTGGCTATACCTCTCTTGGTATCCCCTCGTTGTGAGATGGGGTGGTAACCCGATAATGTGAGAGTATCACAAAGGGTCTCCTGCAGTAATATTACGTGAGGCTTCTTGGGTTGCGCTTTAATGTACTGCAGCAGTGGGGTTTTACGGGTCGCGAAGCTAGCGCAATTCCACTGCCAAATTTCTAACGTGTTTTGGGTTGTGGAAGCCATGATGATTACATTGAATTTGGTGGCCCAGGCAGATTTGCCGTAGGATCCACAGAAACTACTGTTCTGGCTTTGGTTTTAGCTTTTATGGTGGCTTTTTGCTCTAGTGCTTCCACCCGGCGTGACAGCGTGTCGATGTTATCGTGGTTTTCTCGCGTGAGACGTAAGATTTCGTTTAGAGTGTCTTCTGGTGAGTCGCTGTCATTCGTGTCCGCTTCGCGGAGTGGTGGGGCTCTGCGTTTAGGTTTGCTAACATCTACAGTGGATGAGGGGGGATCTTTAGGAGCTGTGAGAGTTTGTATTTGGTGCCTCGCCTCATTTAGTTGTGTGGTGAGCTGTTGTATGGTTGCCCGAAGACCTGCTAGTTCTTCTCGTAGAGTTGTAACTACCTCGCTTTCATGCTCTGGCAATGAGGGCCGCGTTACCTTTGTGACTGGCGGCGTGCTCCGTAGCGGTGGTTTCTTCCCTTGGACTCGGTCCGCCCATGTCAGCTCAGCCTGGCGAGATGGGGAGTGTCTCCTGGAGCGGGAGTGGCTGCGCTGGGCACTGCGACGTCTCGCTGTCGGTGTGAGGGAGCGGCTTCGCCTGGATGTCGCATAGGTGCTCGAGGTGGCGCTGGAATCGCGGGAGCTGGCTCCACTCGATCCTCGGGAGCGGCTACGACCGCGTCGACGGCGTCGGCGTCGTCGTTGGGATCTGTTTGTTTTTTTTTTTCTGTTTCACGATACAATGCTGCTGCTGTTTCTTCTGCGGTTTTCGTAAGCTCAACGAGGTCACGTTGGTCTAGCATTTTTTTCTTTTATACGCTTTTAATAAACATTCAGTAGCGAGTTAGCTTTCCGATTTGTCTTTTTTCTCAGTGTCACCGTGAAATGTTTCAAAAGTGTTCCAAGAAACGTGCTTGTTGCATAGTGTGATAGGCTGCGTTTCTAGGCGGTCGCTTTATGGCAGAGGTCTGTGCTTATTTGAGTGGTCTATTGGCTCACTTCCTGCCTCCATTCGCCGCAGAGCTTGCAAGGTCATGGCAGACAACTTAAGCGCTTACCAATAGAAAGCGGTTAATCGAATTCTCACGGTCATAGCATGCCATGAGGCCTGCCTTCAGCTTCTGACAAAGATGCTTGACCGTACGTACCATTAGTAAACAGTAGTCTGGCAGCGATTGGCACAATGGGTCCAGTTCAACACCAACTGTTCTGTTCTTGGCATGTCACAAACTTGCTACGATCACCAGTAACAGGATCCAAGATCCAATTGAAGATTCTGTTTCCCTCTTGAAGCGCCGAACACAAAGTAATTTTTCAAACAGCTGTTTCAGACTTGCAAACGACTCTTTCAAAGTAGCGTTACATGCAAGTACCTCCCTTTATAAGAAAAGCAAGAACTGGAGGCAGTTATAAAGTACTTTGAAAATGGCTGCGCCAAAAGTGCTGATCAATGGGCTCGGTCCAACAGAAGGTGTGTTGGAATAGCAACAAACAGGTAAAAACAATGCATGGGACTCTGAAGCAGGCTACCAGCAAAGCAAGGTTAACAGATGACCAGGCAAGCTAGTCTGTATGCTTTTGACTAAGATGGAAGACTTACAAATGATGCACTATTTAGCACTTGTCAATATACCCCTTACTGTCACATGTTCGAGAACAACAGGCCAAACACAGGGTTTGGCAAATCTGACATTAAGGCAGCTGTAAAAAGAAGTTTATGTTATCATTGTACATAATAGAAAAACTCTGCCTCTGGCCAACAAAATATTGTACCGGGAGGCCCAAATAGACTGACTGACAAGCAGCGTTACCCAAAGCATGCTGTGCAAGCCTTGCAGGAAATGCCAAAGCCTCTAGGCTCCCATAAATTGAAGGCCTAAAGGCCTTCAATTTAAGGGAACCTAGAGATAAAGAATTTTAAAAATTAATTTTTTTTCAGCAATTGTCTGAGGAACCAGGAGTAATATCATTACGGAGGTGAAAGACCACAAAGAAATGAGTGCATTGTGTGTCGTCAGAACAACTTGCAGCAGCTAGATTTCTGCAAAGCGCCTTTCAAAGCAAAAAAAAGTAGTATACTGCAAAGTATTTTAATTCTACTCGCGTGTCAGGAATGTCATGTCGCTGTCTGCTTACCGCATGTACATGCATCCACAGATACAACGTTTCAATCCAAGGGGCTTCTATCGTAAGAGAAAAACAAGAACATCTGCAGTAAGCCGGCAGTTTGTTTCTATTTTTCTTTTTTTGGTGAGCCCCGTAAAGAAAAAATGCTCACAAAAACGCCCTTAAAAAAAAAAGACGCCATGTGTTCGCCAGCACAACTTGTTGCTCAAAGAGGAGAACAGAGACGCGTGTTATGAGTGCACATGGGGATAAGGTGCTGTGCGTAGACCCGCATTTCAATAACATGCTCTGGAACACTATAGCATATTTTGCACTTCTGAGTGAGCTTAAAGTTTCAAGAAAACATACTTGAACCCAAAAATAAAACTTGACCACTCTTTAACAAGTTCTTTTAATTTCAAAAGAAAAGTCCATCAGGAAATGTAAGGAAAAAAAATAAAACACACGTGTTGTGCATGACAATAAAACGAGTGAGGTAGGTGAGGTGTCGCCAGCAACGCTGACTGGTCAGTTCATTCCGGTTTTTTAGTGCTGTCAGTCGAGTTGGCAACTCTCTTCAAAGTCTGGAGCACGTAAAAGATGGCATAGAGACAGCAGCCGAAGCTTGCCACAAAGGTGCCGATGAAGAACAGGATGCCGGTAGTGACAACCACGCCAAATGTGATCAAGGTGCCTGAAATACAAGAATAGTTTGACATACAAGAATAGTGCGATGTGCATCACATTACCCTTTCATTAGTAGGAATGCTCAAATAGCCAACTTCTAAAACCAAACTGAATATGAACGCTGCTTAAAAAGTGAGTCTAAAAATATCAACTGAAAAGCCAAACGCCAAGTTTCAGCATGCAAGTCCAAAGAAGTGTAAAGAAAAAAATTTACTCTATTAAATCAGCAGGAAACAAAAGACAAACATTAATTTGCGTTAATGAAATATCGTATTCACATGACTTTAGGTCGACCCATTTTGTTTCAATTTGAAATTTGCAGTTAAGGGGTCAACTTAGAATAGAAAAGTAGTATCAGTCGTAAAATCTTTCTGAAAGATCATCCCCACGTATTCCCACAAATCTAGCTTTCATGCACAGCTTTCAAGCACTGCCGTGAAGCTACCTTTGACTTTGTTTCCTTTGAAGGCAGTGTAACTTTTTTTTTAAATGCGAGTCGACTTACAACCGTTTAAATGCAGCTCTGTTTCAAAACGTTTATCAATTTTGCAGTAAGAGGTGGTTGCTAGGAAACAAAATGAGCAGCAAGTTTAAAGTTTCATGTTTTACTACCAATCAATATCTTGCTGTAATATAATTGTCGTAGCAACTACAGTAACACTTCAGTCAAAAAGATGCTGCGAGAATCAGAATTTAATTTTAATTTAAAAAGTGCTTATTGAAGAAAGAGATGTTGGTTGAAGGGACACAATAGAGTAAAACGCTTTTTCAAGTATAAGTAAAGCACGACTTCAACATCATGAAAACACCACTCTTGCCACGACACGACACTTGGTAAGGGAGAAAACACGCAAAAAGTAACTGTGGGTGGAGACGCCATCATGAAACTCCCTCACCAAACACTGCGACATCATCAATTTTTGAAGGCGTCCACTGGGTCCTATGCAGCTTTTAATCGATAAAACTGAAGTACATTGTAATCTGTGGGTGCCATAGACTTGGCATACGAGGTCTCTGAAAATTTTGTTCAGCCCATCTAGCCTAAATATGGAAAATACATTGTGGAATCACTTACGCCACGCACGGACATTACGGCGCAAAATTTGGTAATGAAACTTCAACTTTAATTGTTTCTGCTAATAATGAAACTTAAGACACAAGAGTTTACAGAGCGCAGTTTACCAACTAAAACAAATCACTGTTTCACTTTAGTGTCCTTTTAAGGGAACAGGGTGAGCCCTATACCTGTCATGTATTTCAGGCCAGCTTTACGTAACTTTTTTTCCATAACCATAAAAGTTAGAGTAATTATTTTACTATCATTGTGATTATAAGCCATTCCTCTTTTTACTGAAACAGAATTATCCCTGAAACTTGTAATTCTAATTCTTGGTAATTTTTTTACATGAGATACCTAATTATCACTTGTTAATCGGTATTAGATGTCCTCTTTTGAAAAAAGTACTTCTTCACACAAGCAAGGTTGTAGATAACGCGCTCTTGAAGAGAGTTTCCGGTTATATAGAGTGTAAGGACCTCTTCCCGCGTAATATGGTGGGTTTTCGACACGGCCTATCAACGCAGGATGAGGAAGCAAATATTTGATAGTGGCACTCGGGACGTGCGAGGTATTCCAGCCCTGGATTTCACTAAGGCGTTTGACACAGTGCGCCAACGATACATACTGCAGGGCACGGCGGGAATAGGCATTGGAGTCAAATTCCAGGCATTCGTTAAGTCATTCCTTATGAACAGAACTGCCTGTATTCAGCTGGAGCAGATTCGGTCGAGCAAGTACAGATTGGGGCCTCGGGGTGCCCCCCAGGGATCTGTCATTTCACCACTGCTCTTCAATATAGTGATGAGGGGTCTTTCAGACAGGCTGGGTGGCCTCTGGGGCATAAGTCACGCACTTTACGCAGATGATATTACGGTTTGGTGCCCAGGGAGTTCCCTAGCAGAAATGGAGCAAGCTTTACAGGCGGCCTTGGACGAGACTGAAACCTATCTCGTAGACGTGGGTCTCAAGCTGTCTCCCAGTAAATCAGAGCTGTTACTTTACAGACCGGCTAAAAACAAGGGGTTAGGGGTCTAACACCCCTCAACCAGCTACCTGTGGCATTATATGCGAGTGGGCAAAAAATTCCTATAATTGACTCATTTAAGATACTAGGCCTGCTCGTAGACGCAAGGGGCTGTAATGCCAGAACAATTAGCCACATTAGAGCCAAAACCGAGAACATGCTGAGGTTAATTGCAAGGGTGTCCAATCGAAAGAAGTGTTTTGGTGAGGGCAACCTCCTGAACATGTACCATGCATTTCTCATGAGTCATATTAACTATGTGGTGTCTGCTCTAGTATGAGCCAAAACAGAAAAGAGGAAGTTAAATACGCTTTTGCATAACAGCATCAAGAAGGTGCTTGGCTTGCTGATCTGTACGAGCACTGGCAAGCTAGATGGACTTGGTACGCATAATAACATCGACCAGATCATAGAGGCACAGATCACTACCCAGGTGGTTAGGCTATCGTCGACCTCTGCAGGCAGGAGTATTTTTGACGAGGTCAGCATGTCTCCTAGGCTTACAGAGGAATGGCGAACAACACTGAGTCGGGAAACAAAGGCGAGCTACATGGTGGGGCCCTTCCCGCAAAACGTACATCCACAACATAACGAGGGTAGGTGCAAAGCCCCTGCACAAGCCATACTGAAGAGAGTGAGGAATGACATTGACTCCACCATGTTTGTTGACGCAGCGCTGCACGGTAACAGTAGAATGTTCGGTTTGTCGGTTATAGACAGGAGGGGAGTGCTTCGCTCTTCCGCCTCGGTAAAGGCGGCCACCCCGGGTATAGCAGGGCAAATCACGGTTGCGCTGGCCTTGTCCGACCCAGAGCGTTCTTACATTTACACAAACCTCAAGAGATGCTATTAGAGCTTACCAACTGGGCAACCTCGCTTAAGAGGCAACCTCCATTCTAGAAAAGAGGGCTTGTCCAGGTTATGTTATCACTTGGTTCCCCACACACATGGGGAAGAACGTTCTTGAAGACTTCCCAAACCTCAACGAGCTGGCCCATGATCGTGGGCGAGAACTTACGCGACGGTCTGGAGGCTACGGAGGGGCAGGAAAGGACTCAGCAGAATGATGCACTACCCATATTCAATGAAATAACCACGCATTACCAACTTGGCAGAAAAATCTATCCTCTTCCTCACGCAAAGCTCAGCAGAGCACAGTCAGCTACCTTGAGAATGTTGCAGATGGGGTCTTTCCCGTCGCGGAGATTCATAAGTAAAATATAAGCGGACGTTGACCCTAGCTGCCCTGACTGCAATGAAACCTTCTGCTCTATGGCTCACATTCTCTGGCGATGTCCCGCGCTGCCTAACAACCTTCTCTCAAGCTAAGCTGAATGGGAGGAGGCCATAAGAAGTATGGAACTGAGCAGGCAAATCTAGGCAGTCCAGAGGGCTTAAGAACGGGTGGAGCGTTACGGCGTTCTGTCCTCTATGTGGGCGCAGCCAGCGGTTACAACAGCCCCTCCCTCGTTAGAGAGTCCTGCGGTAACTCCTCCGGTTCTATTAACTTTCGCTGTCTGTCTGTCTGTCTCTCTGTCCTCACACAAGAACAATTCTGCTTCAGTATATTCTCTAGCACATTCTCTAAATACTGGCTGAAATATATGTTTCTTACGAGCAGTGAGAGTGGAAAGTTGTGCCTACACGTGAAACGTTGTTTTCAACTTTGTAACTAAGTGCTTCAGAGTGTTCGCTTCAACAACGATACCTGATCACCTTGATGATGTGTGATGTTTTATGGCGCCAGGGCCATTTGATGGCCAAAGAGCGCCAGGTCAGTCGACAAGTGATGCGAACAATGATCATGATAGGTGGCTGTAAAAGGGCCTTAAGATTCCTCGCGCTAAGGCGGGTAAAAACATAGAAGCATTAAAACCATGACATTGACGTGAAATATGTGCAATAATACTAAATGGCAAAACGTCGTGACAGTAGGACAGTGATGGAGATGCAGCCACCGCGGCAGCGACCTCTTTTCAGAGATCGTGCTACGGAGCGCCTGAGTATACTATGACATTAAAAGTACGTACATCGGTTAAAAACGCCAGCAATGATTTACGAGGAAAAAGGGGTTCTCTACCGATGAACATTGATGGGTCCAAGGGTATATATCTGTTGTCGGTAGGAATATAAAAAGTGCTTTTTTCTGAGAGAATCTAAATCAATGCACTGGACGAGGATGTGGAGAACCGTGAGCGGTTTTCCACATCTCTCGCACAATGGTGCATCTCCACCAGACAAAAGGTATGAATGTGTCGAGTGTGTGTGTCCTATCTGTAGTCTTGTAAGTGTGACTTGTATGTAGCGTGATCTGTATACTGTTGGCCAACTTCCAATTCTCGCTTTGACGACATGCAGTTTGTTTTCTGTCTGCCTATCCCATAGGCGCTGCCAGCACGCCCTGAGCTCCGGTCGTATAAATGGTTTCAGATCAAGCGCAGGGACTGCTACAGATGTATTGGCGCCAGCATTGTCTCGGGCAGATGGGCCCAGCTGATCCGCCAACACGTTTTCAGTGATTTCGCGGTGCCTCAGCACCCAGCAGACTACAACATGCCGTTTAAGAGTGTAGATCGTGCATAACAGAGAGCACAAGGACACAAGGACAAGATTTTTATGTTTTTGCAGAGTTTTCAGAGCCACCACAACGCTCAGCGAATCTGTGTATATTACCGCGCATTGTAGTTGCAGTTTCTTAATATGCTTGACAGCCACAAATACCGCGTGAGCCTATGCTGTGAAGATGCTTGTTTTGGAGTGCAGAATACCGGAGTTGGAGAAAGATGGGCCAACAGCTGCATAGGACACATCAGGGTGAGATTTCGAAGCATCTGTGAAAAATTCTGGGCAAGTGTACTTGTGTTGGGGTTCGAGGAAGTGGGTGCGGATATGTACCGAAGGTGCGTGTTTGGCGACTTCCGTG